CATGTCTGGCATGGAAAACACTCTCAGCATGGCTGAGAAGCTGCAGCTTGTGCTACTAAGGTCAGCCTCAAAAACCGAGCTTTTTAGTCCTTCTGCTTTGTCATTAACTATGTGTTTAGCTCTGAGTGTATTAATTATTAGTCTGAGTCTATTAAATCAATCAGATCTGTGAAGGATGGGGCAGGGAGTGGATGCCACTCATTCCACTATTAAACATCTGCCCTGAAAAAAAATAAAAATAAACTACTAGCAAAGTACAGGGCACAAATTTTTGCACTACTTTTGCAATTGCCTTTTAGCATTCCCCTACTCAGATTTTTTTTTTCCAGGAATTTTATGCTGCTGTTGTGTGGGTTTGAAGCAGTGCCAGGGAGACAGCTCTCTGTATGGCTCTGCCACTGTCTGCTTGTGCCTTAAATAGTTGAGTGCAATTCAATGTGGTGGTAAGAAAATGAGCAGTTAATGTTGTTCAAGTGTTAATTGTACAAGAGTGTGTTTTCAGGGCCTCGACACAGCAATACTAAGAACATTTAATTAATGCTTTTGTGTGATTTCTCTGAACGGGTGGCAGGAGTCTGCCTGGGGACAGGCTGTAGTGGCTCGTGATTGCACGATGTCCTCAGCTTTCCTTCCATCTGAAGAACAGTGAGGAAATCAGTGCATGTGGAAAGTCTGGTTAGTAACTCCCCTCAGACACAGCAAGTGGTCCTTGATTTCCTTCTGGCCTCCAGCTCTGCTGAAGTCAATGGCGCTGGCAACCACTGTAGGGAACCAAGGTGAAATACTCTTGTTCTCCTCCCATGCAGTGACAGCAGAAATAGGAGACCTCACTATAAGAGGAAATGCTGTGTATGCCTGGGTTTTTTTTCCGTAGATCTGTGTAGGAAAGTAAGGTGCACCCTGTGCTGTCATCAGTACTTAAATTCTGTAGGCTGGCACAGGCATTGCAGAGATGTAAAACTGTCTGTAACTGTGCAAAATTACAAAAAATTCTACCAGTACTTTACGAAGACAGTTCTGCAGTGGTATGTTGTGTAACTGAAGGGGTAATCAGGCTCTAATTAGAGCCTTTCTTTTAATATTGTTCAATGAGCTAAATCCTCCAAGCTTCTCATGGAACCTGTCTGAAGAATATGGTGCCCCAGTATAAGCTGGGTAATTACTGAAATTCAAAAGCATTATGTCTTTAATTAGCAGAGGGAAAATATGTATTTTCAGTACATACAATGAAAGCACCATTCAGAAGGTCACCAAAACACATCCGTGTTTGGAATTATAAGAGAGCTGGATATGGCACTGATTTTTAAGAACACATATGAGCTATTTAGGATAAGGGTAATCAACGCTTCAGGTCGCTCAGTTCATCTGGTCACAAATATATTATCTCCTCTAGAAGCTTTTCTCTCCCTGCTTTACAATATCACACTGTTGTCTGAATGCATTACAAAAGCTTTTGTGCATTTGGAAATGTAAATTACTACCTTCTCTGCTGCCAGAGGTACTGTATACCATCAGCCAGGGGAATCAGCATGAAGCCATACTTTTGGGGATCTGTCATGTTGCCTTCTTGCTTTTGCCAGGGACATTAAATGCTTTTCTGAAGCCACAGTTGGGGAAGGATGGGGAGAACAAGTGGTGTGTGGGTTTCTCCGATTGCTAAGTCTGGAGCCTTTTAATCTTGCTGGCTCCTTCCCTTACAAAACCAGATTGCACTCAAATGCATTGTCTCTGGTCTCTAGAGCCCTGACAGCCACATGTTGAAAACATTTGCCTTTAACCTTAACCTGTTATGAGGTAGAAAGGCGCCTGAATCAAAGCCCAGGTAAAAAAGTCTGTTGGAGTTTGGAAACACTCGTTATGGGAGCTGCAGTTGGCTCTAGCTGTATGCCTCTCTGGACAGGGATGTGTAGATCCTCATGTCTAGCCAGAGCATTTGCAGCCCTAGCCTGAAATTGTTCTTCCTCTGAGCCTGCAGTTTCCCATCCACATGAACAAGACTTTTGAAAAGAGTTTTGCAATGCCAGCACCGGAGGACACTCAACAAGTGTCTCTGTCTGGAAGGGGCTGGAGTGAACTCTGGCCAGCAAAACCAAAGCAGGTGTGCGCACCTTCGCATCCTGTCTCACTTCCCCAGAGATCTCTCAGCTGTCAAAGCCGTCCTGGTTTGCTGGCAAGTTCTCACTTCTCCCTCTGATATTTCATGAGGCCTGTCTTCTCTCACACCTTCAGGAATGAGGCCCCATGGAACCAGCAAACCACAGAGGCTGCTGGGTTCCCACCATGCTGGAAGAAATCAGGGTCTGTGCCACAACTGGAGGAGGTTTTTGGAGGTTTTCTTGCAGGGGGTTGTTAGATATAGAAACTAGTACTGAGTATTTAGGAATTAATAGGTGCACTTCATTTATTTGTTCCACCTGAAAGGGGGTTTGTCCAAAGGGACGCAATCTCTTGAGCAGCATTATGATGCACGGTGAATAATTCACATTAAAATATCCAGCAAGTTCTGGGGTTGGGCTTTTAAAGTCGTGCTTACATATTTTTGTCTCGTTAACACTGTGAATCTTTGGAATCTTATTTATAAGTGCTACAGTGTTTCCAGTGTTTTTTTCCAACTCTTACTAAAGTGTGTTTCTCCAAGACAAAGGACAGGACTCTACGGCCATCCACGGACATGCTTCATTTGACTCTCCTAAGTTTTCTTTTCACATCATAAGTTAATATTCTCCTGTTTTAAGTAGGGATCTCTGTTTTACAGGATTTGGGCAAAATATATGAAGATGTGTATTATATAAAGTTTCTCCCTGGATTTTTTTTTTCTATACTTAAAGCTGTATAAGTTATATTTCACTTAATGTGTATTTCATTTTGCTCTATGAAACTAGTCCAAGGTTGCTGCTCACAAGGTAGAGTCCAGGGGGCTCATTATGTCCCATGTGTTGGGCTTTTTTTTTCATTTCTGACAGATTTTTCTAAAGTTAAAATTTATCTGTATTTTGTTCAGCTTGTCTGCATAATATCCAGTGTATATATCAGAGGAAAGGTTTATATATATATATATAAAAATGTTCACATACCAAAGTAAATTAATAAATCTTCCTTTTCTTATGAAAGAGGTAAAGAAAAGTACCTGGCCAATACAGTACCATTAATCTATTCTCTTTTCTCCTTTCTCTCTTTACCTCTCTCTCTACAATAGAAGTGGAACAAAAAGGTAATTAAATACCTTTCAAATTATATATATATATTACTTATGTATAGGCTAAGTTATTTAACAGTTTAACGTTTTAGTTGAAATACTTTGTCATTAATTCTCACTACCTTTTTGTTAAAGTTTATTTAGTATCTCTGCTGCTCAACTTCACCAGATAACTCATATTTGCTGAAAAGTTTTTACCAGTGCCACCTTTATTTTTTTTTAATTAAATTTCTGTTCAAAGGCTTAGATAACTAATTTTCCTGCCCCAAAGAATTTGGAAGGTGTGCATACATATGTATGTGCATAAATATATCTAATGATGGCATAAAAGCCTCTTGGAAATGGCACCCCTTTTTCAGCAACTCTGGTTACTTAGACTCCAATGGATCTATATGATTTTATACTGGTTATTAAATCTGATTTTCCTCCTGTCTTGCTCTCCAGACAACATTACCAATTTCTGCATTTACAAAAAATAATCAATTATGCTCCGAGCAGGAAGTGTGAATGTGGGATCCCATCTTGCCAGCCCTGTGCTGCCAGAAGCGTGCGGTGGGATACTTCTTCATGCCTCCCTGCCGCCCATCCCATCGTCACGGTTACTGTGACTCTCGCGGATCGCGGAGATCAGCGTTCCAAATAACCAACCAATATTCTCCCCCCGAAGCGCGTGCAGCGCCTCCGCGCCAGGAGGGTGCTGATGGGGATGGCGAGGGCCAGATTTGCTCCGCAGCATCCCTCCTCTTGCCTCCCCACCCATCCGTCCATCCGTCTGTCCATCCATGCAGCTGGCTGGCCCCTTGGTGGTGGTGTTCCCGTGGGGCTGAGGTCAGCTGGGCAGCAGCTGAGCCTTTTCCCAGGTCTTGGGTGTGCCCCTGTCAGCCCCCCCCCCCGAAGTCTGAGCAGCAAAGCATCCCAGTTAGTCAAACTGCTCCTCTGTGCTCCTCTCATGTAACAACAGAAGGTGTATGTTTTTAAGTTTGAATTACTACTATATTTAACAGGACATTTTTTAACTGATTAAAATCTAGACATTGGGTTCCTCTCCAGCAAACTTTATTCTTTTCCTTCCTTCTTTCCTTTCTTCCTTGTCTTTTCCTTTCAGCATCCATATGTCATTCGTTTTTAATTGTGTGGACTGCATGTTTCATGTGTCCTGTAGCAGCTTGGAAAGTCTCATTTCTAGTTATGCTCCAGATGGGTGTTCCCCCCCTCCACTCCCTTTGCTTTAAACGCTCTTCTGAGTTGCTAAGGGATTCGCCTCTGCTTTGCTATTGGTATCCCTTAAATATTTAATATCACTTGGGCTGTAAGGATGGGAATTTCTTTCTCTTATTTCCATTTCTAGGCCACTCTTCTGTGGGCTGTTCAAATAAACATGTGGATCAATTCCCTCGGAGTTTAGCCCTTCACCTAGTAGGTACAGATTCACTGCAGAATATAATTTGGAAATACAAACCCAGAAATCCTTTGGGGGCACATATTCATTTCAGAGTTTACAAAAGCGAGTGGTCCAAGTAAGTATACCTGTAGAAACAGATTTGAAAAGCAATAAGAAAAGGAGTCACAGCTTATAGAAAAAGCAGGGGGGGGAAGAAAACCCAGTTTGGTGGAGCAGATCTTGTTCCAGAGATGTGGTGGGCAGGAAGGATAGTCTACAGCTACAAGGCATTGCTCTTGGGTTTCTTCTCATCTCAAGTGTCCTCTGCTCTGGGACTAGAAGCTGTTGAGATGCTTGGGCCAACCAACCCTGAACTGTCATTAACTTTTTTTTTTTCTTCTAAATTCTTTTCCCCTACAACAGTTTTTCTTTGCCCTGGACTGCTGAAAGGAGTTTACCAGAGCGAACACTTATTCGAGTCTGACCACCAGTCGGGCGCCTGGTGCAAGGACCCTCTGCAGGCCTCTGACAAGATCTACTACATGCCCTGGACGCCGTACCGGACAGACACACTGACAGAATACTCCTCCAAGGACGACTTCATCGCCGGCAGGCCCACCACGACCTACAAACTCCCGCACCGGGTGGATGGCACGGGGTTCGTGGTGTACGACGGGGCCTTGTTCTTCAACAAGGAGCGGACCAGGAACATCGTCAAGTTTGACTTGCGGACGAGGATAAAGAGCGGGGAGGCAATCATAGCTAACGCCAACTACCACGACACCTCGCCCTACCGCTGGGGAGGCAAGTCCGACATAGACCTGGCCGTGGACGAGAACGGGCTCTGGGTAATCTATGCAACAGAACAGAACAATGGCAAAATAGTCATTAGCCAGCTGAACCCTTACACGCTAAGGATCGAAGGGACGTGGGATACTGCCTACGACAAGAGGTCAGCTTCCAATGCCTTCATGATCTGTGGGATTTTATACGTGGTAAAGTCTGTGTACGAAGATGACGACAACGAAGCCACAGGGAATAAAATAGACTACATATATAACACTGACCAAAGCAAGGATAGCATGGTGGATGTGCCCTTTCCAAACTCCTACCAGTACATTGCTGCTGTGGATTATAATCCCCGGGACAACCTCCTGTATGTATGGAACAACTATCATGTTGTAAAATACTCTTTGGATTTTGGCCCGCTGGACAGCAGAGCAGGTAAGGGGTTTACTACCAAACCAAAAAAATTTTTTTTTTTTTTTTGTCCTTAAACATCTATTTTTTGTGAATATTTGAAGTACACTCCTGTCTTAATGAGCTGGCTGAGTTTCTGCAAATAAAGCCCCACCATAGACCTGTAATGGTTATTAAGACATGAATATGTACAGAATTTTCTTTTTTTTGTCTTAGTTGAAATGAAGTGGACAAAGGTGTATCTACACAAAAGTGGCCTGAAACAGTTTCCAAATGCCCATGCTTTTATTCACAGGGGTAGCAGTCTTTTCTCCTGAATCGAATTTCTTTCATACATCGCCAGATCATTTTCCCTTCTGCAGGAATTGTGACAAAACAAAGCATGGAAGATGATGTTGTTACAAACAGCTGGAGGAAAACTGCCTGCCAGTTTAAATTACTTTGTTTCATTAAGCTGGGGGAGTTTTGTCTTTTTAGAGAAGCTGAGACTAATTGAATATGTGATCATGCACGCACAAATGTGTGTCTGGAGTCAGAAGGAGAATCAACAAAATCTTCTAAATTCTTGCTTTATTTTCTATAAAGTTTTTCTTTCCGTTTTAAAGCATTTCATGACTTACTATGACTTACTATACTTTATCTTAGAGGATCATCTGGCCCCCAGAGGTTTCCTAGATTTTCCGTCTTTCTTCCTGTTAGAAATTGTGCTGGTAGTTACTTAGGTATATTTTCCCTTACCTTTATCAACTCCATCATCATTTTGCAAATATAAAGTTGCCACTTCACTAGTAACAAGACTTAGCCTGCGCTGTGGTCAAGCTTGAATGATGTTGCAAGAATTTCCAAACAGGATTTGCTCAGTCATTTTAAATGTTTTTTACTGCACTGATGTAGTCACAGTATCAGGTAGTTCTTGTGGTGGACTGTGTACATTGAAAGGCTGAAAAAGTAAGAAAAAAGGCAGAATTAATATAATTGGATAGTAAAGTGTTCAACTCATGACATGGCTTTTTCTGAAACATTTCTTTTTGTAAGTAAGAAACTTGAAAGTGGGCGAGTGGATTCAGGGTTTTAGATTGTAAAAGAGAAGTGAAAAGGTTTCTTTTGCTGAGATTTTCTTTTCCTATGTGCAGCCTGTTACCCATATATAATGAAAATGCATCAAGAAATGCTGAAAGAAATTGTGGGTATAAAAATCTGAGGAGGGATGGAATAAAAGTAGTAAACTGGCAGTGAAATTGTGGGTTTTTTACAAAGATGTAAGGAAGGGGAGAAGAAAATCTTGAAGAAGGAGATGAACAAGAACTGAGTGACTGTTAAGGAGTAGAGATATTTTCAATGATGTTGACCTCTGTAAGATCTCAGATGAGTAAAAAATTAAGTAATACTTCTCATTCTCCTAACTTAATGACGAGCATGTACTTTCTGGGTGGTGGAGTGAAGCAGAGCAATTTGTGAGCTATTGGGTATCCCCAAGGAGTGGAAATCAATTGCATCCCTTCCATTTCAAAGTGTTTCTCTCCTTTTTAGTGAATTATTTCCAGGTATTGTAACGGACTCTTTGCTGGCGCTTTTTCATGTGGTGACTGTTGCCAGTAATAGCATCTTTAATACAAAAAAAAAAAAAAAAAAAAAAAAAAAAGCTTTAATCAGTGAAAAACCTAAAAAAGGGAAAAAATCCTATTAAAAAAGGAAATTGTTCTCCTTTTTTCTCGGTGGAAGATAGCGAAATGGGAGAGCAGCTGAAAACCTTGCAGGGGGCTGAAAGTCTGTGAGGTGTAAAGATTTGATTTATCTTTGTGTCACTCTGGTTTGAAGCCCCTTTAGTTTCACTTTGGTTTGGATGAGGATTTAGAATTAGAATCCCCCGGTGCCTCAGATAGGAAGCTGAAGCAGTTCTTAGTTTTGAATGGTGGGCATGAGAGAGTTAATCTGGTGTCAGGGAATCTGGTGAGCCTTCTCTGACATTCCCTGTGTGCAAATTTTGTATAAAGATTTGTAATATGGACAAAAGGCTGCATTTTACCCATGGTTTTCTTTGAAAATTATTGGGATTTCCTTTCTGGCAAAATTGCATAAGGATCCCATTACCTCACTATTTTACAAGTTTAGAGGACTTTTGAGAGGTCTGCTTTGACAGCAGCTGAACTTTTTAAAGAGAAAACATGAATGGGTCAAGATATTTCAAAGAGAAAAGAAAAAACTTCACTAAGGGGGTTTACTGCTCCATTACCCACACAGCCTGATTAGTTGGAACAATTTTTGATGAGGCAGTGAAACAGAAGCACTGATTTTGAGTTGAACAGGTGAGCAAGTAGTTGCTTGACATCAGGCTTTTTTGCAGAGAGGAGCCAGGAGACCAGATCTGCATGATGCTTTCTCTTCCAAGTTCAGTGCAACCCATTTTCAGGTTAGCACCAAATTTCATGCTGCATTGCTTTACATGTAACACTAAATATCTGGTTGGCTTAAACCCAGCTCCTCCACCCAAGGGCAGGAACAGAAGTGGATACAACCCTGGGAAAGCAGTGAAGAACCAGGATTTTTTGATTTTTTTTTTTTTTCCCCAGAATGGATTGTGGATATGTGCTTCTCTCCAAAAATCACCAGTGTTTTTCTGTATCAGAGCCATGCTCAATGCAGGCATTTTCCATGGTGTTACAATTTGAGTAGCAAAATTTGTAAACAGTATCAGCTTAATTAGAAAATAAAAGAAGGATTGTAAAATTGACGGGTTGAACATATGGGTTGTTAAAAAACAATTAAGGGTGACGTTTCAGAAGAGCTCTTAAAACCAAAAATTGATCATAACAAGAAAAGTGAAATATTTAACTACTTGAATAGCCAGGAACATATTTAAAATCTCTTGCATCATGCATTTCAGGGATATCTAAAATAAAATGCAGGTTCTGGGGATTGCAGTTCACCTAGAATCAAGCATTATTCAGTCTTTTCCCAAACTGTCCAGAAAAACTGGGAGTTGGCAGGAGTTGCTTAATTTATAGGAAAGGCAGGACTCACATCCTCTTGCTGTTCACAATGTCTGAGCATTTTCTGTGATTTTTAATTAAAAATCTGTGCATGTAGGTTTGGAACATATTTGAGATTGTTGCTGTTGCTCTCACCTACTGTTTCAAAAACTGGGCTTTTACTCCTTGGAGAGAGTGAGTATCAAATCCTGGTGTTTCTGTGCTCAGCTTCTGCAGCAGTTGAAGTTACCACGGAAAACAAAATACTTTGAAGTGCTAAAAGCTGTGTTTAGCCGATCTAGAAGCAATTCAAGGCTCTTGATGGAATTAAACCCAACTGTTCGTTTTTCTCAGAAATGAGAAAAGCTGCATTTTAAGGTTTTACCCCACTCCTTTTTTTTTTTTTTTTCCCTTTGTCTGGGATTGTTTTTCATTTATCCCAAAAGTGATTTTGAAAGCCAACACTCCTCAGTGCCTGCAAGTCCCAAGAAATCTATCATTAATGTCTGCCCTCAAGAAGTGAACTTGAAGACACCAAAAGCCTTTGAAGTGTATTTTCTTTGAGCTGTTTGGCCTTAAAATGAGTTTTTTGGAGGATGCTTCTTCATAAATGCTCCTGAGTTTTTGGGTTATTTCTTTGTAGCTTCTATTGAGTTTTTGAATTTGAAGTGTTAGTAAGGATAGCTCTGCATCTCTTCTCATTCTTCAAGAAGTTAAACACAGAACAGTATTCAGGTTACTTTTTTTTTTTATATGTTCTACTAGACATATGCAGAGAGGGAAACAGAAGATTGTAATGACGGGATGAAAATTTTCTGCAACCCAATCAGTTGATATTCACTAGAGTTACCTGTTTTAATCACCACTCACTTATGATACGTTCTGTGCAAATAAACTCAAGAAAACATCAACAAACCTTCCTCTCCAAAAAGGTGAAGTGCTCCCATCCTGCTTACCGGCACTGTGCTGCATACAAACGCACATCTCCTGGTTCTGTACCTCAGAATCTCCCTGAGCAGGCACAGCTCCTGCCTGGACACCAGCCAGGGGTTCCTGGGTATCACAGAGACCTCCAGTTCTGTCTTTTGTTTAAAACACATTTGTATGAGGTGCCCCAGTGCTGGCAGCTCTTGCCAGGGCTCGGGATACGCTGAGTATTTGGGTGCTTAGGTGGGGATTGGAGCCTGTCCCGCAGTAGAGAAGTGCAGGGAAGAACTTGAACCAAGTGAAGGATCCCTTTGTACATATTTTGGCCTTGGATGTGCCGGCAGCCATTCCCAGTGACATGGGAAACACAGACCTCCTGTTTTCAAGAAGGTGTTCTAAATTATGACCAGGAGACCCAAGCATTACCATATGGGCTGTTCCATGGATGTGTGAAGTTAATAAATAAATATGCCCAGTACATAAGGGAGATGCTGATATGATATGTAGGACTTCTGATGCAGCCTAGATGTGCTTAAGTGGCTTCCACACATTTCATATTAACACTGTGGACAGCCATTCTGGTAATCCCATGTGATACAGAATTACATGGATATCGATGATATTTTAAGAACCTCAGGGGGTGCACATCAAGCTTTTATCTTCCTCATTTTGTCAAATACTGTGGGATGCTCTCTTGATGTGATTACAAGTATTTTATTCAGCCAGAATGTTTGGGTGGTTTTGAGTTTTTTCTTCCTAAAGCAGTTTCACAATGCAGATAAGGTGAACCGTCTGTCCTTATAATATGCTAATTAAGTGTGTTTGTGTCTTGGGTAAAAGATGTGGCAGTATGGTGATGAATAAGGACTTTAAACACATATGACACCTCGTTAAAATGTAATTTTCACATCATAAATCTGAGGCCTTTCCTTGGACAGCTGAGCAATGTGGGCAGTGGGCAGAGGAACTTGAATGCTCCGAAGCTGTCACATGCTCACACGTAGCTGGGAGCTGCTTCCTGCGCTACTCGCCTTCGACGCCCGGCTTCCTTGCCCAGGAACGCACCAAAAGGGCTGTGGAATCTTAAATCCCACTTGTGCACAGGATATGAACTGCAATCGCTTCAAG